TTTCCCAGATTAATAGATATATAATGGATGTTGTACAGATATTTATATATATATATCGTATCACTTAACTTTACAACAACAACAATTCTTTCTTTTACACATTATATATACAATTACACTATAATTACACCATTTGGAATGGCTAAAGAAAACTCGTTTTTCAACTAGATTTGATTTTTTTAAAATGGTATAGATTATTTTATAATTTATTAGAATTATTACATCTATTTTTTTATCTCTATAGAAATAGATGAAGAAAATAGATAAAGAAAAAAGATGATGGATGGTAACATAATAAACATTATAACATAATAGTACAATGGGAGATTTCTTTTTTCTCTTCCTGAACTTTTTTATTATTCATTATTTAACTTTTTTTTTTTTTTTTTTATTATTATTGATGATTATATGCTAACTTTTATTATATTCTTTTATCCATTGAAAAAAATAAAAATGAACTAGTACTGATTTATCCACAATCAACTGCAATTTCGTTTATACATATTTAATCTCATTCATTCTTTTCATAATTTTTTACTTATTATTCAATATTATTATTCAATGTACAATATATTTTATCATTCCTTCCTTCACTGTTCTTTTATTACCTTCTCTTATTTATTAGTACTATCTTCTATTATAATAAAAATGGCAATACTGCAATTATTACTATAATTACTATTATGATTACAATTATTAGAATTATTACTATTATAATTACTATTGCTTCTCCAAATATTACTAAAAACTCGTTTTTTTATTTTACTTTATTCAATCATATTTCATATATTTCATTAAACACACAATACTAACTATTTTTTTTTTTTACAAACTTATTTTAAAAAAGGGGAGATTATGATTGAGATTATTATAGTGAGATTACTGTATTATAAGTGATAGTAAAAGAAAGAAAAAAGAAAGAAATGAAGGAAGAATAAAGTTTCAAGAAAGAAAGATAGAAAAAATTTATTATCTTGTTATGAACTTATGATCACACCATATTAGATATTTAATCATTTTAATATATATTACATATTAATTAAATTAATTAATTTAATTAATTAATTTAAATGTTATCAATTAATTATTACGTATTTAAATTAAATAAACAATATAACTTTGATTTATTATTGTCATCAAAAAAAAAATCACACCAATTTATTTTTTATTATTTTTATCATTTTTATTGATTAAAAAAACTTTTCGAATTCCACATTTAGAGATGATTTTATTCTTTCCCCACCCCTCTTCGATAATAATAAATAATAATGATAATAATAATAATAATAATAATAATAATAATAATAAAAATAATAATAATAAAAATAACAATAACTAATAAAAATAACTGATAAAAATAACCGATAAAAATAACCGATAAAAATAACCGATAAAAATAAAACTTTATGAAATTTAAAACTTAAAATAATCCAATGACTTTTGTTACCTGGATGGGATAACTTTTTGAATAAATTTCGTTCTAACAAATACAATCATGGTGTAAAATAATAAATGTTTCCAGTAAGGTTTACTGTTACTCAGCATATATTCTTTTATATATATATCTATCTAATATAATATATATTTATATTATTTGGTGAATAGGGTTTTACTTTATTCACAATTTCTGCAATTACAATAGATTCTCAATAAACGCTTAAAGACATACTGTATATTCATTATATATATTTAAAGTAAAAAGATTTTGTTGTTACTCTAATGTAACGTACTTTGCATAACTGATAATAATTAATAATAAATAATAATAATTTATAATAATTTATAATAACTTGTTCGAAACCAGTCTAATAAACAATTTATATTAGATGTTTCTATTTATAATAATGCAATCTGTGACGACTTTTTAATTATTCAACAATCTACCGTACATATTATCACATAATTTTCTTTCTTTGGGTTTCGAAAAGTTCTATTTTTTTTTTTATTTTCAACAATAAATATTAATATTTAATAGTTATTATCATATCATCATCATCAACAACATCATCAATCAGTTAAATATTTATTTGACGTGTTTCCAAAAGTGAAAATGAGTAAATAATAAACAACTATTTACTAATAAATTGTGTGATAAAAATTGATAAAATTAAATTTTATTTTATCAACTTCTTTCTTCACCACCCACCCACCCAATACTCTAAACTAAAATAATCAAAAAAAAAATAATTTATGACCTAAAATATAATTATGATGAAATTGACAACAGGATATCACCGTATAAGGTCAAATGATTTTTTTTTTATTGTCAAATATATTATATTATTATTGTGTTTGTGTAGCTCTCTTTTTTTTCTTCTTGTGTCTCTAACTTTTTTCCCTTACACATTCATTTTTTTATTACTACTAATTACTTACTTACTTACTTACTCACTACTTACTATTCTTTAATTTACCAATATTATTATAATAACAATTATTATTATTATACTTTTTATTCCAGTACTTCTATTACTTATATATGTTGTTACTGTCTGAAAAATAATAAAAAATAAAAAATAATAATAATAAAAATTAAAAATAATAATTAAAAATTCTATTTACTTTATTTGTTTGTATAGAGTAATCAATGTTTCGAGTTACAATTGGTCCTGGTAACTCTTTTTTTTTTTTTTTTTTTTTTTTCTTGCCTGGCACCAATGATGAATATTTATTTATTTATTTATTTATTTAAAAAATTTTCTTAAAACGCTTATCTTTTCGCTCTCATTTTATAAATATAAAAAAAGTATTTTACACAATAAAGTAGAATAAGTAGAATATTGTAGAATATATGGAATATGTAGTTTAAAAATAATTTAAATTAATTTATTGTATATTTATATATTAAATTTATTTTATTTATTATATGTCATTGAAATCATTTAATTAATATTACTTTATTTTTATTCCTTTTTTTCCTATTTTTTTTTTTTTTTTATTTTAAACTAAAAATCTTTCCTATACTTATAATAAACACAGTATTTATTATTATTATTATTTATTTTTATAATAATAATAAAAAAAATCAGCTAAATTATTATATAACATTGGCGAGATAAATAGTCAAGAACAACTTTTGTCACCTAATTTGCACCACACCCCCTTTCTTAATATAAACACCTCACTCCCCTTTTCTTTTTTCTCTAATTTATCCTTCTGAACATATATAAATATATATATATATTATTATTATTTTTATTTTTATTATTATTTATTATATTATTATTATTATTTTATTTTGTACACATACACATTAAAAAACATATTGATCATATTACGGACGGGTATTTTCTTTTTTTTTAAAAAAAAATATTTATTTATTTATATACACATATTTATATATAACACATCCCTCTCTGTTGTCGTCAGTCTTCAATATCGAATCATCGTCAATCAACAAAAATCAAAAACTATAAAAACCTAGATAAAACCTTATTGTCTACCAAAGAAAGATTTCTTTCAAAAAAAAAAAAAAAACCAAAATTTTCTTCTTGGATTTAATCCGTGTTCAAGTCTTTAAATAATAATCTTTTCTTTTCTTCTACTTCTTCTTTTCTTGTATATCTTTTAATTTTCTTCATAGACTACCACCACAATAGACTCGACCAATATAATAGACACTACTACCATTGCTACTACTACTACTATTATTATCAAATCTATAAAGAAAACGATACATCCTTTTTTTTTAAAAAAAAAAGAAAAAAAAATTGATATTAATATATACTAATATTCTCTTAAAAGAAAAAATTCGCGAGAGAAATTAAAGGATTCGTTTTTTTATTATAAAGAATCAAAATATAGAACATCATCAACAACTCTTTTTTCGTTTCAAAAAAAAATTATTTTAAATCTTCACACGCTAAATAAAAAATAATAATTATCGTTGTGAAATACAATTAATTATAATTAATTATAAACTATTTAATTTATTTTTTTTTTTTTTAATCAAATTTGTCATCCTTGCTTCTTTACTATACACCCCCTTTTTTTTTTTATTCTTTCGATTACTCCCTCTTCTTTTGCTCTACAACTATATCTATAAACCATACTACAGTTTATAATAATACTACAACTACTAATAATCATCTACAAAGGGACAATAGAAGAAGTCAATTATATCAAAAAAAAAAGGAACCTTTTTGTGTTTCAAGTTATCACCCCAGATTTTCCTCTCAGCTTGTCCCATTTTCGGTATGTATCAACTCTTATCACCTGTGTTTGGTTTAGGTCCCTATTATTGAAATTTTGTTTGTGTACACTGCGATAATCCTTATTATTAGGAGAAATTTTTTTGATTTTTTTCTCGTTCTTTCTTAAAATTATATATATATACACATTATTTGATATACATTGTATATATATGTGTATATATATAAATCGATGGAATTTACTGTCATTCTTTAATTTTTTTTTTTTTGTTTGGTTTGTCATATAAAAAATATTTATATAACAAAAAAAAAAAAAAAAAATTCGTTCTGAAAAAAATATATATCGCTCACCTAATTAATTTTTCACCTGCAGTATATCCGAAAATTTTTGTTGTTTTTTTTTTTTCTCGATTACTTTGACTACTTTTGCTTTTTGTACTCAAATAACATTATTTCTTATTACAGGAGTTATATATATATCCATTTTTTTTTAGTCGCCCTCTCATATAAATACACACACCCTACTTATTTATTCGTACCTATATCAAAAAAACTGTCTTATCCCTCCCCCTTATTATTAAAAAAAAAAATTCACTTCCCGTTTATAGAATTTTTTTCCTTAAACTCCGACCAATCCAATTTCGTCAAAATTTCTCACGCCATCAAAGTAACCGACTACCATTGCCTACCAACAAAAAAATAATAAAATCTTGTTTCTTTTGCCGGTTGGTTGTTGTTGAATATATATATATATAAAACTCATTATAATATCAGTACAGATTGGCGGTACATACAGACGCTTACATATAGACATTAATAATAACATTATCGCGAAAACTCTTTTCATTTATGGCCGGTTTGCAGAATTCAAATAATAAAAATAAGCATTTCACCGATTCATCTAATACCAATCCTGCATTAACAACTGCCAGTACAACTCACTACTCAAAACCTCCAACTACGCCGACTTCTCCGGCACTATCTACCTCTAACACCACGACGAAGTCTCCAGATAATATTTCTTCTTCCGAATCTCCTCGAAATAATAATAAAAGTTCTACGGTATCCAACACCACTACCACAACGACGACGAATACTTCTAACTCGAATAATAATAACTCCTCTTCATCCAGCAATTCAAACTCACCTGCTGGTCCACGTTCATTGGTTCCTACTACAACTCATTCAGCTTTCTCACCTTACAGTCAACATCCTACTTCAGTTCCACAACATCCAACTCCTGTTACTACTCCAACCAATACCACAATAACAACGAAGAACTCACAACCCAACTCCTCGTCTTCTTCACCATCATTATCCAATACAACAATGATGTCTGCTTCACATTTAGACAATAGTGGTAGTACTTTGATTTATCCCCAACATGCTCACTTTACTAATCCCACTACTCACTCATTTTGGCCATGGGGCTTTAGTGGAGGTAATCCTGCAGGAACAGCAGCAAATGGTACCACCCTTTTACCAACCACAGGTGGTAGTGCTTTTGTTCCAGCAGTAGGTTACGGAGCGGGATCTAATATGGCACCAACTCATAACCCTCGACCTAAACTTACTACTACTATATGGGAAGATGAAGGAACGTTATGTTATCAAGTTGATGCTAGAGGTATTTGTGTAGCTCGAAGACAAGGTAATTAAAAAAAAAAAAAAATTTACGATATTTATATCGTTATTTTATTGATGTCACTCACGCGTTATTCAAACATTTTATTATTCAACTTTTTTTTTTTTTAATAATTATAATTATATTTAATTATATAGATAATGATATGATAAATGGAACAAAATTATTAAATGTTGTTGGAATGTCTCGTGGAAAACGAGACGGTATTCTTAAAAATGAAAAAGGAAGAGTTGTTGTAAAAGTAGGAGCCATGCATCTTAAAGGTGTTTGGTAAGTTTCTTTTTAATTATTATTATAATTAGAATATTTTATTATCTTGAATTTATTATTTTTATATAATAATTTTATTAATTTAATTTTTATTATTATTTATTTTTTTTATATTAATATTTTATAGGATTACATTTGCTCGCGCAAAAAGTCTAGCTGCTCAATTTAAAATTAGCGAACTGGTAAAATTATGTTTAAGATTTAATATAAGAGAGAGAGATATATATATTAATTTAAAAATATACTAAATAATATTTTATTTTCGTTCGTTAGCTTTATCCATTATTTGTAGATGATCCTAGCATATTCCTTCATAATTCTTACGGACAATCAATGTCAACAAGAATTCCATCATTAAATAATGCTCCAACTTCACAATGGAGACCGGCTCATCATTATCCCAATAATTTTAATAATGCACCATATACACCTGAAACAACGCGTCAATGGTATCCATACGGTAACAGTAATCCATTAATGGGATCTCCTAACGGTCCTCATGGTCAAGATCATGGTTCTCCATATCCACCAGCAGCTGGAGGTTACTCTGAACGTCCTCAAAATGCCAATCCACCAGCTGTACCAATGTATTCAGCTCAACCACCTAGAAATCATAACGCACACCCTCAAGCACATTTAGAGGAATATGATACGGGTTATAATTTAATAAATGGACAATCTCAAGGACAACAAGGAGTTGCTGTAGTACAAGGTCCTGGGGTAAGTAGTTATAACCTCTCGACCGATTACAAGAACGGTCCAACGGCAGCCGGTTATTATTCCATCCCACAAAATTCTACTGGGGGGTATTTAGGTCAACAACAACAACAACAACAAAGACCACCATCTTCGTATGAACCTTCCAATATTCAACGAAATACTAATCCTTCATCATCATCATCATCTACCACCACTTCCATTTCCAATAACTCATCTACTTCATATACTCCCGTAAAGACGGAAGAAAATAATTCTAGTAACGGTAACGGTTATATGCGATCTAACGGTCAAGGTCTTTATAATCTCGTCTCAGCCACTGATGTAGTAGGTGGAAGTCCCGCTCAAAATAATTCACAACTTATTGGACAAAAGCGAGGTTACGTAGGTGATGACGAAAATGATGATTATAATAACGTTAATAATTCAAGTCAACCAAGTCCTCCTCTTGCTATGCATCCCCCACCACCAATAAGTGGAATTGCTGTAAGTGGTGCAATGAATGTTGCCGCTGGTTCATTTCCAAGTCCAATGAATGTAAGTCCAAATTCCCCACCGGGTAATTCGGCATTTTCTGGATGGAATCCAAATGGAAAACGTGTTAAGTATGAATTTCCAGAATCCACCACTCCTCCATCGGCCCCTTCACCTAGATTTCAATTACCGGGTTTAGGAGCAGGTCCAGCAACACCTGGTGCTAATCCATCTACACCACAAGCTTATACTAGTAGTAATTTACAAATGGTTACTAATGCTCAATCAAGTCCACATTATTCTAATGCTACTAATGCCAATACAACAACAACTAATGGAGGACCTGCCACGGGTACCACAACACCAACTACGGAAGGTTTAGATCGTTTTTTTGATCAAGGTACCGTTTTACAAACTCCTTCCCCCGAAAATGTTGGTAATACGCCTACTGAAGAATCAAACAGACGTTATGAATATCGAACGAGAGATACTTCTGAAGAGATCAACCACGGCGGGTGGGACTAGATAAATAATAATAATAATAATAATAATACAAAATAAAATTAGAACTTACAAATTTATTATACACAAATAATATCAAAGGTGATACGAAGTGTCTTCTTTTTTTTTCTTCTTCTAGACAAAAATGTTAAATATGTATAGGTTTTTAGGATCGTAACTTTTTTTCTGCATATTATTCTTTTTTTTTAAAAAAAAAACATTTACTTTTTTTTTTCTTAGTATATTTTTTTTCCTTTTATTCAATTTCACAAATTACAATCACTATTGTCAAATAAAAAAAAACAACTTCATTTTTTTTTCATTCTCTCTATGGACTTTAGAATCCTCGGGATTTATTATTAAATATTATTAGACAAAAAAGAGGGGAGAGAAGAGAAAAAAAAAATAAGTTCAGAAAAAATACACGATAAAAAAAAATATTTTATTTGGGATACACAATTATTGGGTGGGGGGGGAATTCAAAAAAAAAAAAAAAAGAATATTGATTCTATTAACGTATATATAGTTTCGCACGTTTTAGGATTGATTTCTGGGATTTTTTTTTCTTCTTTTTAAATATATAGTTTTTTTTCCTTTTTTCTTTATTTCTTTTTTTTCTTCCTTTTTTTCTTCTTTTCTATTACACAATTCAAAACAAAAAAATTCAATAAAATTGTATGTAAGATAGAACAAACAAACAAAAAAAAAATATTAAATGAATTGAATTGAGTTTTTAAATATTGTAAATATATTTTTGTCATGATAAGTTTTTTTTTTTTGTTCGTTGAAATTGCCGAAGTAAATCAGTAAATAAATCAACAACGCGTTGTAAATGTTATTGCAGTTTGATGCATATAGTAAAAAGTATAATGTAGATAGATCTATTGATCACCATTGCTTGATTATGCCTGAATTAAACAGGAAATTAAATAAAATGAAAATGAAGTCACCGAATTATTATTTTTCTATAATAACTTGCATGATAACCATGATGATGTCTTTGATCTACATATGTAAGAAAAAAATGCATGATTAATGAAAAACACGTTTTTTTTTCCACACTTTTTTTTATTATTACGTTTGTTTATTATTATTCCGTTAGATGATGCATAAATAATAAATCTTGAAATTCAGTTAAATTTATTATATTGATCCCTTTTCCAGGTATTTGGAATTTGATGCATTTTATTATTATTATTATTTTATATACTAACCATAAATTAAATCGTACGTTATGCACTTTAGATTTTTGCTCTTAAAAAACTTTTTAATACTTGTATATTTTTTTTTATACTATATATATATTATATATCTCATCATAATTTTACCTAAAAAGAAAGTTTCATTAAATTTCAAGTTTAGAAAAAATCTAGAAAAAAAAAAAAAAACTTGTACTATAATTGTTTCATATTATACCTATTTCAGTATTGTGATTGATATGATCAATGGATAAGATGTCAAAAATTTTTATTTTTTTTATTTTTTTACATATACGATATAGATTAAGTTCATCTAAATTTGTCTTTATCAAAGAATGCCAAAAATTAGAATTTTGATTGTGAAGGAATAATTAATTTACATATACTTATTATATATGTTAGAGCTGAAAAATATTAAAAAAAAAAATATTAAAATATTAAAAAACATTAAAATATTAAAAACATTAAAATATTGAAAAAATGACAACAGAGCAAATTTTTTTATTTAATTAAAATGAAATTTTTCATTTATAAATAAAGTTGATTTATTTGATTTTCTCAAAAACATTTACACTAATTACAAATTAGATCTCATATAATTCATCATTGTTTATATGTAATTTACAAAAAGGCATTTAGACGAAACCACCAAACACATCTTATACAACTTAGCAATGAGAATACTTAACGACAGATAACGACAGAAAACATAACAGTAAGGTAGACTAATAAAAGAACTTTCAATAATTAAATATATTCTTGTTGTTGTAGTGTAAAAGAATAATTAAATAATTAAATAAAATTATAATAATAATAATAAAAATACATAAAATTTAAAATAAATTATCACAAAACTTAAAAACTTCTCAGTTCAGTTATTTTTTTTGTTCAGAATTAACGATATCCCTAAAAGTTAAAATAACTTCTTTAGGATTATCAGCTTTAAAAATTGAAGTTCCTGCTACAATAACATTTGCTCCCGCCTTCGCTGCTGCTTCAATTGTGTCAAGTGCTAATCCTCCATCAACTTCTATGTCAAGTCCTGGAAATCTTTCTCTTAACGCTTTTACCTATACATAATTATAATTTTATAATAAATAATAAATAACAAAATCAATCGAAAATAATAAAAATAATTAAGAACGAATAAAAATAAATAAATATAAAATAAAAAAATAATTAATTAATTAATAATTAATAATTAATAATTAAATAATTAAAAAAATTTAAATATAAAATGTAATAATTATTTACCTTTGGCATACAATCGTGCATAAATTTTTGACCACCAAATCCAGGTTCAACAGTCATAACCAAACATAAATCAATTTTATCCGCTAAAGGATAAATTAAATCAATTGATGTTCTAGGTTTAACTGCAATTCCAACTTTCATTCCAGATTTACGAATTCTTTCAATAAGTTCTAATGGTTTGTCAGTTGCTTCTATATGAAAATTATATAGGGATGCCCCCGCCTTGGCAAAATCATCAACCCACTTTCTCAATAAAGAATTCAATAATATATATATATTAAAATAAAATAAAATAAAATTAATAAAGAATTCAATAAAAGAATTCAATATCCATTAAAGAGTTCAATGAAGAATTCAATATATATATAAATAATTATAAATGAATTACTAAAATTATTACAATTATTATATTTTAATTATGATCTTCCCAATTTCCATATCATATTATTTTATATTACTTCTTCAAACAAACCTTTTCGGGATTTGATACCATTAAATGACAATCTATATAAATTTTTTTTTTGAAAAAAAGGTATCATTAAAAAGATATTGTAAAATGGCGCATTTCAATACACTAAATTAGTTACCCAAAAATGCATCTGTATGTTGGCGTAAAGCTTTAATAACTGGTGCACCGATTGTAAGATTTGGAACGAAATGTCTTTGTTGTTGTTTTTGTTATTGTCGAAAATTGATGTAAAAGTAAAAAATGAATAATAATAGTAATATCAGATCATAATCAAAAAAGACAATGAGAAAAAAAAATTTTTTTTTTTTTAATTTACCCATCCATAACATCTTTATCATATCATCACCCAATTTTTAGTTAAACAAAAAAAAAAAAAATTATTTTAATCATATATGAAAAAAAAACCCAAAGATTTCTTTTTAATATGAAAATATTCAATTTACCCATATGCAACCAATCAGCTCCCTCTTTTATCATACGATCGGCTTCAGAGGAAAGTTGAGCAAAATCACTTGATAAAAGGGAAGGTGATATTTTCGCAGAAGGCATTCTTATTAAGAAAAAAAAAAAAATCGGAGTAGAAAGTAAAAATAATAATGAGAGAGTGATAAACCTAAAAATTGTCTTTTATGTGATAAACCTAAAAATTTGTCTTTTATATGTACATCGGACTGTTGACCATGAATAGAAATTTAATTTGATTTAACTAACTATAAGTGGAAAAAATCTTTACTATCTTGAATAATCAAACTTGGTTTTCAATTTACACAACAATTTACTACTACGAAAAAAATGGTATTAAATTTTTTTGATAAATTATCTCAAAATTTTATTGAACTTCTTAATGATAAAGATGATTACAATGTAATTATTGAAGTCGAAGATCAAAAAAATTTTACTGCACACTCGAACGTACTTAAATGTCGTTCACCTTATTTTCGTAAAGAATTGGATATTATTACTCCAAATGAAAATAATGTCAAAACAATTATTAAAACAAAAATTTCGGCTCAAATTTTTGATATTATTCTTAAGTAAGTTATAAACTATTCAATAATAATAAAAAATTCTATTATACTATAATAAGATAAACTTATATAATTATTTATTATCGTTGTTTATTTTGTTTAGATATATTTATGGCGGTATTATTAATTTAGAAAACGTTGAAACAAAAATTCTTTTTAACTTAATGTTAGCAGCTAATGAATTTAAATTTGAAGAATTATCCAAAAAACTAGAAACTATTCTCATTAAAGATAAAGCTTCTTGGTTAAAAACACATTTTTCTTTCGTATACCATTCAATTTTTCTTAATAACAAATTTAAAGATCTAGAAAATTTTTATAATGACATTATTGCAAAATATCCTAATCTTATTTTTGATTCTAATGATTTTACATCTCTTCAAGAATCGGCCTTGGTATCTATTCTTAAACGTGATGATATACAAATTGAAGAATCCAAGATTTGGGAATATACCATCAAGTGGGGAATTTCTCAAAATCCTACTTTACCCAGGAACCTTGAAGAATGGAATAAAGATAATTTTTTAATTTTAAAAATTATCCTACAACAATGCTTGCCATATATCAGATATTTCCATATTCCTGGTAATGATATATTGGATAAAATAAAACCTTACAAAAAAATCCTTGATAAGCAACTTTGGGAGGATTTAATGCAACGGTTTATATCTTCAGACCGACCAATAAAATCAATAATTTTACCAGCAAAATCAATTTTGATTCCTGAATTGCCTGCTAGAGCAAAAGAACCTTTTTCAACCATTATTTCGAATGAACATGCTGCAGAAATTTCCTCCTGGATTGATCGTAAAACTACTGCTTATCCTTCAACAAATTATCCCTATGAATTTCAACTAATTTTACGAGGAAGCAAAGATGGGTTTTCTCCACAGACTTTTTGGAACATATGCCATGGTCACACTGGTACAATAGTTATTATTAAAGTTATGGGAACTGACGAAATTCTGGGAGGTTATAATCCTTTAATGTGGGATAATACAAAGAATAATGATACTGATGTATACACAAATGATAGTTTTATTTTCTCATTGAAAAATGGTAACATTCAAAATTCAATTCTTAGCAGAGTAAAGAAACCTGAATATGCACTTTTTTATTGTAGAAAATCTTCTCAAAATAGGTGGGGTCCAGGTTGGGGGGATATAAGTTTTGGAGGGCCTAATCTTTATTTGTATAGCAATGTATCTAATTTTACTATGGATAATTTATCTCGTTGTTATAATCATGATTGTTATGAAAAATCTATTAGAACGACACTAGACAATTTTTCAATTGTTGATTTTGAAGTTTTCAAAGTAAATAAGAAAATTACTTAGGGGATTTTATTTTCTAAAAAAATATTTATTCATATATTTTATTTTTATATAGGTTGTATTAATTAAAACTTATATATTAAAATTGTTTCTGTTTTGGATTGATCTATATTTTCTAATACTAAATCAAAATTTTTTACCGAACTTTCTTGATGACAAAAATGATTATTGAAGTCGAAGATAAGAAAAATTCACTGCACACTCTAATGTACTTAAATGTCGCTCACCTTATTTTCCGTAAAGGATTGGTCCAAATGAAAATTAATGTCAAACAATTATTAAAACAAAAATTTCAGCTCGAATTTTAAAATTATTATAAATAAAAATATTATTATAATTTAACTTATATATGGTGGTATTGGTTTAGAAAATGTTGAAACAAGAATTATTTTTGACCTAATGCTAACAGCTATTTTGAACTCGAAGAATTATCCTAAAAAACTAGAAACTATTCTTATCAAAGATAAAGTCTCTTTCCTCTTGGTTAAGAACACTTTTTTTTTTTTTTTGATTTCGTCATTTAATTTAATTTTTATTAATAACAACTTTAAAGTTTTTAATATTATTTTTTTGATCCTTATTTACATCTCTTCAAGAATCGGTCTTGGTTATCTCTTGTCAAGTGGGAATCGCTCAGAATTCTACTTTACTCAACTTACAAATATTAAAGAATAGAATAGGGCTTTTTAACTTTAAGAATTATTCTACAACAATTTCTATATTTCACGGTGATGATATTTGGGATAAAGTAAAGCGTTACAAGAAATTCCTGATAAACAACTTTGGAAGATTTAATAAGATTTAATGCAACATTTTTTAACTCCGGATCAATTATTTTGCTAGCAAGACTAGTCTTAACTCAAGAATTACGTGCAACTTTTTCTGATCATAAAACTTCCGAGAAGAAGTAAAGGTGAGTTTTCTCCACAGACTTTTTGGAATATGTGCCATGGTCATACTAGTACAGTAGTTATTATTAAAGTTAAAGGAACATACGAAACTCTAGAGGTTATGTGGGATAATACAACGAATGTTAATACCATATGTACACAACACAAATGGTAGTTTTATTTTCTCATTGAAAAAAATGGCCTTCAAAATTTGATTCTTAGCGAAACCTAAATATGCACTCCATTATTATGAATATATTATCAAAACAAGCAATTTTTGGAGTACCTAATATTTGTTTGCATCTAATTTCTATGAATCTTGGTGTGGTGATTATGATGACTATGAGAGACCTATTTTTCTATTGTTGTTTATGAAGTTTTCAAAGTTAATAAAAGAAATCTACTTAAGAATTTTATTTTTTTAGGAAAATTAATTTATATTTTGAAGTTAAATTAATTTTATATTCAAAATCTATTAAATAAATAAGTCAAATAAGTGTAATTATATAAATAAAATTTTTCACTATAGTTGAAAAAAGAATCACATTTTATTAATAATTTAATAAATAAAATGATAATTAATAATAATAATAATAATAATAATAGAATAATCAATATACTTTATATCTCACTCCAATCCAATGGTAAGCAAAAAATAAACTGGAAAAGTAAGCGTCCGCAAAATTAAAGTTGTAGATAAAAATTCCGACATGGACAGATACAATCGATAACGTTAGAATATGGCTAAAAAGGGAGAAAACTATTTAGGTATCAAGAAAAGAATTATAGAAAGAAGCAAAACTTCTTGGACAGTAAAAGAAAGAGCCTTTTAAACAAAAGACCTAAAATAGTAACGGGATAGTATAACAACAACCATTAATTAACAGATTGAAATTTTAACAGACCCTGAAGAATAAAACAAGGAGTTAAAAATGTATTTAATCAATTGGAACATTCAAAAAAATGTCGAAGATTTTAATCAATACCCAGAAAGTGATTAATAGTTTATTCTTTTTATTATTAATTACAATTACATGGTAAAAACTTAACAGATAGATTTAGACAGAGCGGACGCATTTAGGAATTATAACAAGAATCAGACTACAACAATTCCAGAATTTTTATAGAGAAATTAATCTTTTTTGGAAATGGACAAAATAATAAAAAGAACGGTTTAATTTAACAGTAACAATAATAAATTTGTCCAGGATAAATAAAATAAAATGGAAAACCATCAATCAAGGTGACCGAATAACCTTGGAGGAAAGATACCTATGGAAACAATTTGGGAAGAAAACTATTTATTAAAGTTACAAAACAAAAGAAGATTCTATACTTCGAACAAATAATGGTCCTGGAACTTAAAAGGATCTTGGATTGGCAGCCAATCATACTAATAGAAAAGGTATAACTCCCAAATGGTTCAAATATTAATAAATTTTATCAGAGTATGACTCCATTGAAAAAAAAACTTTATATCTTAACATTTATCCAAATTTCTTTTGCTTCTTTCTTAATATTTTTAATATTTTTCAATAATTTATTCACTCAATTCTAATACATAATTTTTATTAGTAGTACTAAAATAAAAGTTAATTGGGTTATAATGAATTAAAGGATTTTATTGGACTCCTATTAAATTTTTTTTAGATTATAAATACAGTGGCGATGTTACAGAATGAAATTATCATGATCAAAAAGTATAGTACGCAATACTAAAAACACCTACAAATTAACTTTTAGAGATAGTATTTAAAAATTTAATTAGTAAATATTAACTCAATTAATAAATAGTGATATTTTAATATTTTTTTTAAATTAATATTTATATTCAGTAACACACATTAATTAATCACGGAATAGTAGTACAAGATCACGTGTTCACGTGATAATTAGTTACACAAATATGATTATCAATTCATAACATTAATTATTATCACATACCATTATTTAGCAATAATTATCAATACATATTATCAATTAGTATTAAATAAATTTAGTAAATAATATAAAGAAATAGTAATCAATAGAAATAGTGTACAGTAAACCTGCCACCCAAATTCAAAATCCAAATGCCAAAATCCCAAATGCCGAAATCCCAAATCCCAAATCCCAAATCCCAAATTATG